ATCGTCTTCGGTAGACACACCCTGGGTCAGGGACGACGCCCTGCGTTGTGCAGACAACATACGGTATCGCCGTCTTCTCTCTATAAAGGTTTTACGTCTCGTCGAGACCAGTGGGAAAACGCGCTCAGCGTCGTTCAGTGTCCCCACTCCTTGCTGCATCGGGGCCTTGATGTTATTAATAACATCCAACAAAGAGCTGCTCTTTACTCAGTCTTCGGCCAGTGGATAACATGCTACTCCACGCACATCGGAAGGGCCTTGACCAGGATGCCTCGGACCTCGTCCGACCATGCCACTCTTGGCATACATTAACTGCTTCGTAACGGGGGCAGTGTTCAGTGGGTCACATGCCACTCTATGTTCAGCCCGCGAGCCATGCTTGTACTCTTGTCCAATAAACCTTCGGTGTTCGACAGTTCGGAACTCCGATATCCAGCACATTGACCATCCCGGCCCAGTACCCGCGCCAATAGCGCTTCTGCTTCATAGCAGAGGTGGGTTCATAAATCACCAAAGCTCCACCAGGAGACATGCGCGTAGCGCTCAAGGTCTTTGACCTCCAATCAATCCATGGCTCATGGTGTTCCAGAGTCTGTAGTAAACATTGTTTTCCTACCCAGCGCAACCAAGTCATGCGTCATACCTTGCATGCAAGTCTGAAACTAGGCAGCGTTCCACGCTATCAAAGTCAAGAAGCTTAAAACCGAGGTCCACAGGAGCCCTCGGCTTAGTGACGCAAGTCTTCGTCACTTAGCGAAGTGGACGTCATCCGACCGCGCTTTCAGCGCAGCTGACTTCCTTTGATCGTGGAGCGTCGTGCATAATTGCCCGACGTACCAAAATCGATAAGGATTTTCCATGACTATCGAAGCAATTCATGGTCACTTTTACGACCTTGCATACACGTTCCGTTTTCAAGAGCACGGACCTCTTCGGGGCTGGGCCCTGCAGTCCTCTACATATATCAGACTCAACAGAACTCAGTTCTTCCTTAAGAGGGCACTACTGGGTGTTCCCGTTTCCCCGCGACAACCAGATTGGTTAGAAGCAGGAAGTCGGTTTGATGACCTTTACGCGCCTTGCACAGGGGACGACCAGTCCAAAGATGGCGGGTGTCTCCACAGACAAAACACCGTCGAGTGCTTGATCGCTGCTCGGCAGCTCGGAACTTTTTCTCCTCGCCCTCTGATCACCGCTTCTTCAAAGGAGACGGATGCTTTCGGAATGTTTCCATTCTAGCCACACCATGCGATGGCACTTCATAAAGACGATCACTGCGACCGCCTCGGAGACAGGATCGGCTACCATTCCGCCAATAAGAGTTCTCAACTCTCGGACAAAGTCCGCCAACTCCTTCTTGCCCTGTCGGGCGGCAAGGAAACGCGATCGCACGCGATATAACTGCTTAGGCGGCGAGAACACTCGCAAAAGCTTTTAGCTGCTTCCAGGAGGGGAGCGCCGCTTCAACCGAAGCACCACACGTTAGTGCCAATTCTGCGCTCGGCCTCCAGGCTCGGAGATTGCTATCGCCACGCGCTGTTGCTTGTTCTGGAGCATGGCGGATGCCATAGCCATCTCGGCCTCTGTTACCCAGACTAGGAGATTCTCTTCATCCTAACCTTTGAAGGTCTTAATGCTCACCTCTTGGTGCTTTGGCAGAACACTTCCATAGTCTCTAGGCATGCGCTTATCGCTTCGGGTTCATGCAAAGCAAGGTGTTGCACGCCCTCTTGACCGAACAGGGGCATCAGCTTATTTAGCCCGTCCTGCATGCTTTGGGGCAAATAGGAGTATTACTACATCATCAAAGAATGTCAGTCGTAACGACTCAGTCGTAGATTGACTACGAGTGCTACCAAGTGCAGCGGGGCTGCCGTAGCTCTTTGCTTAGAAGAAGCTCTCTTAAGGTCACCAACCTTCGTTCTATACCAGAACCAGTACGAATGTAGCTGTCCGCTTCCCCCAAGAATACTAAAAAATCTTAACCAAGCCAAATACGCTCATCCTTAAAAATTGAAACTGTATCTATTTGTTTTATTTTCGACGGAGCCGCCTTTATCAAAACCTTAGTTTTCCTAATTAGATAAAAAACCTAATTAATATTGGCAGTTCCGCCACGTAGTGGCTTCTTGTTACGGTGTAGCCTACACCGACTTGAGCAATTCACACTTTTGTCTGGCCAGACCATCTTGTGTGACCCATCCTTTCATGCCAGGGTACGTGTAACCTCGTTACAGAGATTATCACTGCCTCTAGCGGTGGTTCACTTGCCATACTGGAACGAGGCTCACGGAGCTTCTGGAAATAGTCGCACAATGTACCGCTGTCTTGACGGCATGACAGAAACTTTTGACCGTTGTCGAAACGCCACATTCGGTGAAAGGAATATCGATTTCATGGCCTTCTCCAACTCTTGCCATGTTACAAATAGCCAGGGCGGTTGACTTCCCACGTCATCTTCCAATCCTTCGCACGGCCATTCAAATGCGACATGGCACAGACCACTTGACTACGGTCATCACAAATTGGAGCCATCGTGATAGCAATGTCCATTTCTCGCTGCCATAGCGCAAAATTTTCATGTTCATTACCGTGAAAGCTTTTCACCTTAATTTCACGGGACGTTCCGTGTGTACCGACGGTATCACTACAACTTGTGGGGGAGGTCGCGGAACCGGCACCGTTGATTTCTCAGATAGAAATACCAAAATCCTTGCTCTTACGCAACAAAGTTTGCTAATCGTTGAGTTATCGCTTCTTAATCCAATTGAAGACCGCGTGATCTCCGACTAACGCTCGCAGATTTACCACGCACTCCCACTGCGAGTCTGTTAGAAACAAATATCCCTCCCTGTTGAACCGAGGACGACCACCGCCTGTGGTGTCCACAATATCCATCGATAAACCCATTGCGTCGAAATGACCGCTAGTGTTGTGGGATTTGCTCCTCCGTGTACACACACTTTTCTGAGGACGGCTTAGGTCTTCAGACACGCCTCACCGTGTGCTGCTCGTTTCCAACGGGCCGTTGACTTATTTAAGGAGAAGGAATAGTGAAGCCACATTTATTAATATAGCCAATAGGCTTGCCCCCCTCAACTAACGAGTACTTCTAGTTATACAACTATACAAGGTGTACAGTTAATGTCGGATACCCAAAGTATGTGGTTCACGCAACATGTGTAATGGAACTTGTTTCATTACACATTCTGTGTTCTACGTATGCTTACTAAGGTATCCCAAGTCATGGTGCAAGCGGACTCGGACCGTATTGTTTAAGACGAAGTCATGTCTCAATTTCTCGTGTGGTTGATCCACCTTCTGCTCCAATGCAGCATTTTGATTTTGACCAGCTCGAGTTGAGATCTGCAATTTCAAAAATACAACAGCATCAAACGGTCACGAAGTAACCGTAAACGGTAGTGCAAAGATGGCCCGAAGAGTACAGCGAGAGGAAAATGCGAGCTATCTTCGACGCAGCGCTACCACTGTGTATTTGCTGTCTGGTAGAAAAGTTATTCACTGTCAATCGATTGAACCAACTTAATGCAAGGTCACCGCATCGTCAAGTGCACCCATTGCTTCGTAATCACTAATGCGGTAGATCGCACACAGCGCCTCTGTGAATAGTACGCTATTTTTGCTCAAATGCTCCCATTCGTGCAATAATTGCTTTTGCGACATGATGAAATGTGACTTTACGTGCAGTGTTAATTTGGGAGTTGCTTCGGCAAATTGATGTGGACGAACATTCTTTGCAAGTGATGGCACAATCATATGGGGATTAATATAGCTTTTTGGCTTTAGCTGCTCTGTATTCAAACAGTACCCGAAAAAAAACATACAGTTATAAGTGCACGTGGTCACTTTCTAGTCACAGCAGTACCTATGATCAGATCGCCGTCTGCCGAGGCTACAAATTCTTGCCCAATTTCTCACGAAGAAAGACCCTGCCTTATGGTCGCGACAACGTTCAGGTCGGCTATTCGGCCTGTGAGCGTAGGAGTCGCAAGTATTTTGCAGACTTCATCAATTCGCGATTATGGACCTTAATGACTTTTGATCGGCGCGGCGCTAAGGAGCCCTTACACGCGTATGCGCGCAAAAGCGCTAAAATGTGCTATAAAATCCCCCGCGAACGCTTTTGACCCCAAAGCCGCCACCTGTTAAAAAAACTTTGCGCATAGCAAAGCAGCAGTCGGGTGTATACGCATTCTCCAACAGTACGACAACGTTGGTGTTGAGTGCTGGTATAATCACCGAAGAGTATGGAAATCAATTAGCGTTGGATGAAGGAAGTTTATTGGCTCACCTGTTACGAGCCATCATCGGCAAAGCAGATGTTTGGTAAAAACATTGTTCAATCACTAATACAGAGCACATACGCTTACCACCTCCGGTACTCGCTGAATAGCTGTGCTCACTGCACTAGCCTGCTGGCACAGCTTTAGATCAAAACTCGAGCTTAAGACAAGACCAGACCCCGCTCAGTGTAGGCAAAGGCGTTGCAGCTAGTATATCTACCAGTCATTCCACTCCGACCTATTCGTTACTACAATTCCGCTTACATTTAAATATTGCTGAACGACAAGGTGGGTTGCCAATAATTCCCGATGACTTATCCAAAACTAGCAGCTGAATATCATTTTTTACAGGAATATTGTCGTGTTTGCACTATCGCTGCGAAGCAACGATAGCACTCGGCGTATGACTCTAAAAAACCAATGTAAAATCCTCTGTTTGCTGTCAGCATTCATGCAATCGGCAGACAGGCAATATGTGTCGTCGCGCGGCGACAGTATGACCTGTTGACTCTTTTTGCGCGTCCGCACGTATGTTCTAACCCAACTAATCTTGCTGGTACACCAGTACATAGCGCTCACTGAGCTATGTGTATGATCTCGCCTTAAGTAAAAGGCACCAGTATGATCTTTACATACTATTGCTGTTCAAGTACTGATACACAAGATGTACGCAAAGAATTCAATACCATATGGATTCATATGGACAGCACATGACATACGTGTCCGGTAAGACTATGAATATGATACCATAGTTATGATGTGATATACAGCTGCGTCTTCAGGCACTGGTGCATTAGATGGTACCTGTGCCACAACCAGCCACAACCAGAGCATCCCGTTTAGGGTACTCCCCACAGTGAGAGGAACTTAGCTGTCTTCTATGAGGGATTAATGCTATCTAACAACCAGGTTTAGGTCACTGAACAAAGTGCAACCGACAATGCTGGTGTGTAGCATGTCCTTTCAAGCAATCGATGCTTGCACCGAATTTATGGCTGCGTTTAAATTTATATAAAAATGCACAACCCGCTACTTACCGTCAGTCTTCCTGACACAAAAAGTCGGCGCTGAGTGGCAAAATCTTGTTGTGCTTTGCATAACACCCATCAATCGATGCCTCTCTATTCCCTCAGTTAGGACCACTGACGTCAAATGCCTTTTTCAAACCGCAGTCAATTTCCTGAGGCACACCCCGGTCCGGGGAGAACACGCGTAGTGGACCTCTCTCGTGCCATCAGCAAGGTATTGCTTCAATAATGATTCGATAGCTTCGTTACCTCACCAGTACGTATCACTAGATGATCCGTGCGCAGTTTTTTTTGTGGACGCTTTTCAAAACTTTTAAAGATGCCTCGCAACGAATTCTATACTTGAAGTCCTCATCATGAGGTGCCACCATGCGCCGAGCGTCAAGTAGTCAGCGCAAACATACATTAATCCTGGAGACAAGAACTGGTGATGCGCATTTAAAACTAAACGCTCTGTTAAAATGCGGCATCTAATTAGTAATTGCTTTCTTTTTACAGCGTTAGAAAGACAACATCGACTGCATTTGGCTATTTCACTGAACATATGGTCTTTTCGATGCGCAACGTCACCATCATAATATGCGACATCAAATAATCTGTGTGACGTAAAAGCAATTTTAACAACATATGCCGTTGAACTGACTTATACTGTCCCTCGAGTGCATTTTTCGCAAATATAGACTGCTATCTCGTTATTATGTGCGTGTGATAAGGTAATGCGAGAGGCATAGTCTGCATAGATCGCAATTGGCATAAAACCACAAACGTGTGCTTTGAACTCAACAAGAGCGTCTCATTTGCGAGTAACTCCTTGCGTTTAGCCAAAATATTCCCCTTCATCTCTTCGAGCGGCATTACTTGAACGTAATGACGCCATTTTAGTTCCTTAAATCTGAGTACAGCACAACCTATGGCAAAGAGCGGAGTGTCACAAACGACGTGAGATTCCAGTCTGAATTTGAAATAACAACCCATGTGGCTACTTAAGCAAGCGAGAAGGCTTGTTTGCAGCACCATAGCACCTCTTACATTTTTGAAGAAGATAGGTGAGAATCCGTGCTATATCAGCCTGTTTAAATAATACTTGTGCGAGCGGCTACGCCAAAACCACTTCTCTCTGTTTCTTTGAAACTGCGATACTGGCCAGATCACGCTACCCGCAACCAGATATGCTCAGCAAATTATTGTACTGACGGTATTTCATTACATATCGCTAAGATGAGCAGATTGGTTTAAACCCTTACAATTGATCACTGCTTGTGAGATTTAATATCAATTTCCATATCGAACTTCCCGTGTTCTGCACGACTGAGGACGTGAATATTGGCAAAATAGGGATGAGTGTATGCAAGACGTGATCTAAACAATTGTGCTACCCAACGATTGAACATTGCTAGTATGTTGACAGCTCCTGGTGCACAATAAGCAATTTCCACATCAACGCGCTTGGGGGCAGTGCAAGAATTGCCACTTCTTTTTTAAGCTGTGAATATATTCTTGTAACACGATCTTGAGCGCTGAATAAGGTGCAACTAATTATGCTGTTATGCAGCGCCTTCTATCTAGCATTTGGCGTTTGTGCTGGAATAGTTGCTGTAAACAAGCATGCACTTGATATCAACCTATCAGAAACAGAAAGTCGGCGCCTAGTCAGCACATATATTTTCTATCAGAAAAACCGTTTCGTGCGTTGCATAGAAGAAAGCGTTTGTGACTTTGCACAGCTCACTTAATAATGGTCCTTGGTGTATGGCAAATGACTTGGTTCCCAAGGCAATACTCATGGAGGGTGTTTCACCGCACCAAGTCGCACATCATAAACATTGGATTAATGAGTTCCAGCAGATCCTTGCAAATAGCCTCCAGCTCCTATCGCTAAGTGCGCCTACAAAGATGATCTCATCCATAGTAAATAAACAACTTAGTTTCTTCTTTGCTATAAATCATGCCAAGTCAGTTGCTCAGCTGTCTTAAGACACTTTATAAATCCCACAAGGATAAATCGGCATCTCGAAAAAAGCTTCCAATGGGATGATAAGAAACGCTCGCTATTTTTCTACCCCGGGCACTCAATTCACGAGTGTCTATACTCTCTTATAACAAACCTACAAAGCTTCTTTACTCCGAACAATGAGCGCGTCACATGGCTGTGCTAACTCAGTAGTGCCGTCAAATAGTGCCAAGAATGCACCACGCCCATTTTACCCGCGAGCTTAAGTAGTCATTCTTCATAGCGTTTCGCGAGACTGCGACGCATAGCTGCTCGGACTTGTCTTATCAAGATCGCAGCTTTATGATTGTACAGCTGCCTTTGTATGTGTAGTTACTGGTAACTCCAGTCTACAGTAAAGATAACTGTCTAATCAAAGAGGGCTCAAGCAATGTGCATTCGCTATCTCTTTTTTATTTTGGACTTTGCCTACCTTTGTATCCCAATCTTAGCACAAAATACCAGAGAATATCGTTGTTAAATATTTCAAACAACTGCATGTTCTGCATTAAAGCTGTCGCAGCTTCATGCTCGCGCCAAACAAGCTTTTCTTCTAAGCAGAGATAACTTCGTGACGCACCCGAACATCTTCTGCCACCAGTCGACCTAAATATTATGGCGTTCTTGAGACCATACCTAGGTTTAGTTCTTTCAACCCTAGGACCCACCAGCGTTTTTCGACGTGTAAACACTCAGGATCTACAGAATGAATTTCAAGAACATTCGACATACCCCCATCGCAGGACGAATCGGTATCGTACCTGGTTCTTGCAATCTTTACTATCTCTGCGTACTGTCTACTATTTCTAATCGTCGAGTGATTCACGTAATTACATAACACTCCTCAAGTCCATTAAGATTATGCAACATCACAAAGCTTGAGACGTTGATGTTGACAGCCATCAGTTTTGGGCTGTGAGCCCGCCTTTCTTAAAGAATCGCTTCTGGCAGGGCTGATACCTTTCTGCCTCGACTTTTGCAAGGTACAAAAGAGCCAGTTTTTCGAGACTCGGTTACCGAGTACCTCGCACAAGGCTATAATTATCTTCTAGTTTCAGTTGAGATAAGATGCCCAGAGAATGGATTTGTACAATCAATCAGGGATTGGAACCGAAAGCGTCACAGTGACCAATTATAAATACGGTGTCACAGTATTGATTTTATATCGTTGAGCCTTATCAAAGCCAAAACCAAATAATCATGTTTTTTATCTCCGACATTTCCTATGTTTTGTATAGTGTGAGGCCAGCGGCACACCTGTCCCATGACTCCTCTCGTCGGGCTCATTACCCATTATGTAAGTTTATCTAATCGTGTACTTAATTTGTAACTTCTATAAGCTTATCTCTTCAATGACAATTGTAACAATATTGTTATATGAGTATACACTTAACTGGATCTATACATATACGCAGAAAATGGATGGTCGACGTCCAATTTAGCGCAAAGCTGACGGCAATAAAAGGCTAAAAATAACGACCGCGTATGCTGAATCCGATGGCGACCTCGTTAGGTTCAGCAAAGGATTTTAGTATACGGAAATCGCACAGGATATTGGCACTTTTCAGCACCCTCTTAGTATCTTCCAGGACAGCTTCATCCAGATGCGACGACGAGTTAATCTCCTCTTTTGGTCTTATAACGACCAACTCGGCAAAATTGCCTGCCATCAAGGCATCGCCAAACTCTTCGAAGGACATCTCGTCTAGCTCAAGAAGAGTATCCACCATTGGATTAGCCTTGTGGTTGGAGTCGCCGTCTTCCTCTTCCGTCATACCGTTAACAAGGGTATTTGCTGTGCGATATCGCTAACAGTGAGCACACCCTGGGTCAGGATCGACGCCCTGCGTCTTGTAGATAACATACGGCTTCGGCGTCTCCCCTCTATAAAGGTTCTACGTCTCACCGAGACCGCACATCGTGCCAATTTTAAGAGCGAGAAGAGCGAGCTCCCCGCTACGGGGCCAACAATGAGTCGCTTTCACTTAAAAACAAAGCATCGCTTATTAAAAGAGCCTAGTTTGCTTGCCAACAAGCACATGAGTCATAGCGACTTTAAATATAGCCGATTACAGCTCTACCACATCGTGACTACGGCTTCACGATCTAAGTTTATTAAATTGACTCCAGGCAAACGTGTTGCTTAATGTTTATACCTCAAAGAAAAAAGCGCGGTGTTGAAGTCGATACGGGCAATCAACCTTGTCTCTAATTCATACTGACAGCAATTCATTTATAATTATCAGACTCCCGATATAGCTACGGCAAAGTCTCGTCTGGACCCCACTTACTAGTGACAAGCACGGTGCACTGCACGACCTTGACGTTTAACAGGGGTGAGAGATGGTGCTGGAAACATCAATCCATAAGGGTCAATGTCATCTGTGCAACAGAAAAATACTGTATCGCTAGACCAGATACTGATTATATTCCTGGCAAGTACGCCGAAACACACGTCTTACCACGTGGAAGTGGACTTCGTCACGATGATCCATCAGTATTTGCAGAACCGCGTCAACCCTTTAGAACAGCTACATTGGGTGTTTGTTTAGGGTACTAGTCGTCAATCTGATACCCTATCAGTGGTGCAATATCGGAGGCTTGTCCCAAGCTAATCAAAGCCAGCTCACTTGGTTGGGATAAAAACAGCCCTGCCACAGAGGTCTCTTATAACTTTCTTTCGACTTTAACAGCTCGGCCTTTGTCCGAATAGATATTTAAGCATGATTGGAATACGGCTCGAGCAAAAAGACGCGAAACACTGAATGTGCTTATACCATTTTTTTTAAAATAAAATCGATACAATTCTTTTCACCGATGTCTGTTAACCGCACATTGTAGCGAGTGCGCAATTTTATCTCAGAAACTTGCAGACGCTATGTAGGTAGCTAATTTAATTGCGTTCAATATATCAAAATCATTTACATGAGCTTGTGAGTTGATCGATTGCCGTTGGCATCTGCGTATTGTTCTTGTCTATTTTGCCAGCCATAATGACCGAACTGAGTGCATAGAGCTGAAATTATTTATAGTATACCTTTATGATAGTTTCATTTGTTTGCCACAATTAAATTCGGCCTTATACCAGCACGTTGGTCAGTATCACCCCCCTCGATCAAGAATAGAGGGCTTTGTACCAGCTTATATTGGATGGCGCGGGGATGTGTAAGTTATTTGTAGAAACGGGAAGTAAGCTTGTTTAGCATGAACTAAGCCCTCCAACAAAGTTTAATGGGTGGGAGTACCTTGCTACGTAAATGTGGTAATTTGCGCATATGCGTTGGACTCAAAAATTTATCTTGCAATCTGTCCATTTCATTTGCCCATCGGTCTATGGGTGGCCAGCTGTGACATACCCATGTTTCTGGTACCAAGCATTCTGTATAGCGCCGTATTTAATTCGAAACGATACCCACAGGTGAGCCATGTAAGAAAGTACTTTGTTTAGAAGCAAGTTGTGTGTATCAGCACAGGATATAACCCTAACAGCAGCGAGATAAATTATTTGCTCAAACGATCAACAAAGACTACAATAAAGGCATTACTAGAAGCGACATTAGGAGGACGACTAAAGCATAAAGTGTAATAATGACTTCATGGTAGCAGTCACATTAGCAAAAACAAAACTTTATGCGTCTAGGGTTTTCTTCTTCGGCAGGGAATAGACACACGACACGCGCACATATTGCTTGCCAATTGTACATCTTGGGCAATCACGATATTTCTCCAAAAGTATGCCATCCAGTAGGAGTATCATGTGCCTTTGATAGAGATCTGCTTCTTATGTAAACATTGAGCACACAGCACTTGATCTATGAAGCGGATTAGTGCTGAGCTTTAGCAAATCTTAGAGCAAGACAAATTAGTGTAAATACGCTTGCGAACACCCAAAAAATCAATACCCGACTTCAACAATTCCGTAAAAGGAACAAACTACATCCGAACTCTATTCGTATTTACATCTAACAAACCTTCAACAGCGCAATCCAAGCTGTCTCTTTTCCAAACATCGTACGTATAGCATCGTAAAAGCGTGAGTTCATACAATTTGGGCACATGACGAATCGTAGTCTGGGCGCCGTGACGGCGTATCCACCACCGTATCAAGCCCACTAGAATGTTATTCACCTTGCACTGAGATTTAATAGTAGAAGTGTGGCAATGACGTCGCTGCGCAATAAGACATAATATTTGTATAGATCACAAATGACTTTGAACCATGCTGGTTAGCTTGGAATCTGCCACGGGCATAAATAACGGAATATAGATCTTCGTCGCGGCCCAGGTGGTATTTTATTGCATTGTTAGGCTATAGCAATTTATATGCAACAACGATTGGCATCAGCTTGACTGTGATGACGGCCAGAGCATCATAAACGACGTGATATAGCCAGTTTGTTATCGAAAGGACACGAATAAAGGCTAACATAAAGTTTTTCAAATGTCCAGAGGACCGCCATTTTGGTATTGCCACATCACCATTTGGCATTTTTTCTAAAGGTGTAAAATCAGCATATTTATAATATATTTGTGAGAAGAGTTAGTCAGACCGACCGCCTGGGTGACTTTCTTTGGGATATTGAATCCGATGAATATTCTAAGGCCCTCATCGTTGTGGAATCTTCCTGAAAAACATGCTTCTCAATGAGACACTCCTCACAATGGGACGCTGTCAACGCCAAAGACAAATTAAATTACGGTAGCGAAACGCTAAAAAGCGCGTACACTCGAGCATAGCTCGCAGCTGTTCAACAGCCGTGTTTTGTGCAGCAACGCAACACAATTTGCTTCTGACCCGTACGCTGAACGTGTGCCTTTTTAATTGGCGGATTTGTCACTCTGACTTACAACGATTTATTGTCGGTGAGACGCATAAGCGCATCCGACATTACATTAAGTCGAATCGGCTCATACCTTTTCAGAGGTTATACTTAAAAATCAAATATAACCATCATGCCGTATGCTGTGAGAGATGCGGTGACGACGTCGCTGAGCGCGACGATGTATGATCAGTGAAGATAAGAAACGGCTTACGACCAAGAAAATGCAATTTGAGCCCGACAGGGATAAACTTCACTGTTGTCGTGAATAATGTGGTGTTATTCTGCCAATTTTAGCGGGCGAGACCCAAACACAATCACATGTTTACAATCTTTAACATCTGCTTAAACTAAGTGTACAATCTTGGGTAAACGGTGAGGTGTCACAGACAACATGAAGTGGCTGATCTGGATCCAGCCTTTAAGTTGCCAGCTCCGCCGCATCTCAACACTTTTTGACCATCGTTTCAAGGGGACCGATGAGGAGTCGACATAGTCACCGTTGTTCTTGTGCAGACCAGGACACTTCCTTTTCTTCTTCAGGTACAGATGCACTGGCCAATCTACAGTAGCGTTTATGCTGGCAGCATCCACCTGCAGACCCTGCTTCCCACCAAAGCAAAGACTGTTTTTATTGGCAAATAGCTTGTGTTGGCGCATTAACTCAAGCACCGCTCAACTATTCCACACCCGGCTTGTCATGCTTTGTTTGAATATGAACAAATCAATCGTCAAGATATATTTGCACCTAGCCTGAATAATATCTGAACAATTGTTTCTGGAGATTGAATGTCACTAATGCATTAGACAGTGCCTGGGCATAATAGCCCTTCGCAAAGCATTCCGCTATGAGTACTCAACGTGGCAAAAAGAATTCGGCCACCCTGCATCTACTTGGACCCGACGATTCCACGTCAGGGGCTCATGGTCTCCCCTTGTGCGGAAGTTCGACTATTCGTACTTCTCAGTTGGGAGCGAAGGAGGCACAAAACGTTTGACATCTGTGGGCTTCGCGGAGTTTCTTTGCGGATGAAATACCCCGCTTCCTCCTCAGCATGACTAGGCCCATCGTCTTTGGCGTGCTGGTGAGCTTACGTTCCCAGCCCCTTCTTGGAATAACGTCATGAAAATTTCACTCCGCGTCCATTGCGACACTCTCTGGTTCCTTAAAGTGGAAGGGTGTACACGAAAGGTCTCGGTAAGAGGCGCGTCCGTTCGAAACCCACGGTAAGCATTACCGCCTCCGGGAGATCGCCTGACGTCATTGCGGCAATAAGGGCTCTTACCTTCAAAAAAGCCGCTGCATCTCAACTCCTTTAAGTGCTAGGAACAAACACGATACGTCTGGTTGGGCGGTGTGAACATTCGCAACCATTTTTATTCAACATGCGCTTAAAACGCCTTTCACCGAGAAATTTTGCCTAACTGCCTACTCTGCGTTCATCACGCTGTGGCTCTATTTGAGGCAGAGCCCAAATTATGGCCATCTTACCTTCCTTCACCCAGAACATTTTTTTTCTGTTGCCTGAACCTCGAAAGCCTTGACGCGTAACATCAGCGGTCTCATGGTAGAACCATCGATACCTTCACCGGCGCGCGCCTGGGCGCGCTTGGACGCGCCTCACCAGCGCAGTCTCAAAGCTGGTGAGTACCTTTATATGAATGATTACCCTTCACAGTTCTTTGATCATCACATCTCTGGTCCCATTGGCTGTCAAGCAAGACAAAGTTTGTTAAGTTGGCGTATTAAGGTAGGGACACACATTCGAACACTTCATGTCCCGTTATAGCGAAGGATATCGTTCTACAGGATTCGGTCTTGGGATTCACTAGGATTGAATACAAGTACATAATGAAAAATCTGATTAAAACAATGAATTTCCATGGATTTTGTATATTAGGAGCTTTAACTCAAAGTGTTCATGATAACAAACGCACAGAGTTTGAAAGGGATCGAGAGCTATTAGGCAACTAACGCTTTGTTTTGCTATGCCATTTTAATAGCACATGTGGAAAAAAATAACGCTTCTGTATCGCAATTAATGTAATGAACATAATGTGTAGGCTAAGTACACAAGTATACAGTACATGCCTCGTTGAACCGGGACTTTTTAGTGGCTGATGGAGGCATACAACAAATTGGAAAGTCGTCTCTCTATGAGAGTTATGCTCATTAATGCTGGCGCACGTATGTACAACGGGGCAAACGAGCTTTTGGAGCTTTGGGTGCACGTAGATCGCGATATTGGACCTCGATAAAACGATTGAAGCTCTAATCAAATTCCATTTGATGGTGCAAGGTTTTAACCGGATTTCAGGCTATGTGAACATCAACTATTGCACTGATGCCCTCGAACCTTCAAATGAAGCTCAGAACTACCAAGCTAAACTAATATGATGAAGTATCATCATCTAATGAATTCATAGCTCGGCGCCTGGTAAACCCTTTGTCTGTGCGTCAATTAGCGCGGACTCAACGCAACCTCACCATAAAACTAGTCTCAGTACCTATATGCTTTGCTCTACGTTCGAGAGATTACAGTTTAGCGTGTACGTACACTATAACAGGGTTAACAGCATCACAAAGAGACTTTCTACTAAAACTGTCCTAGACATCCGGAGCTGAATCATAATCCCACGAGGTCTGGAGCTGAATATTCTGCTAAAGCTGGATTATCGGAACACATACCGTTCTGCACACAAAATCCTCAGTGACACAAGTTAAAATGTTTCCTATACAAATCTTAGAAACAACAGAACTGCTTCTACGAAGGATCACAAAGAAAACCATAAATCGCCTAATTAAATCTATTTACTACATCTAAAAACAGAAAACAATATATATATAGTAGCACTGAAGACGTGATCGCTAGCTGTTTCACTTAGCTTTGTTTAAGTATAAGTTAAGAGAACTCATACCAAGGTAAGATCAAACATCCTTGAGAATGTATCCGTATATAGTACAAAGATAATCACAAATGCATGAATCATACCTACTCCATTTCGTTATTAACTTTCTCATGAAAATTTACCCTTGATCGCATAAAATTTATCATCCATGCGACCTTCTCGGTCTAGTACTGTACAATATTCGGCATTTATGTATTCCATGCAAAGCAGGACTTCATGGGCTTATCAAACGCTATAACCATTGCGAGAGTTCAACGACACCGCTGACGGGCCAAGTCCACTGCAACGACTAGCTTTTAGTGAGCACGACAATGCCACTGGGTTGAAGAAGTAGTGCGTATTGCAGTTGCGGCGTTGAAGTTTTCGGATAATGTGCGATTTGCTACGTGGACAGGATTTGAACACTTTGGTAAATTTCTTCGCGACATGGTTCGTACACGGATTGCGCATGGAGATCAATTAGTTTGGCCCAGTTTCCTGCAGGCACCGAGGTGCCTTTTGGTTACCAGATTATTTGTGAAGGCTTTTTACGAAGATTGAATCGGTAGCGCGAACAAACAGAATGATGTGTCTGCAAAGCGAATGCCAAGTGGAATAGAATTTTGCTACATGCATAAGCCAGCAATGACTATTCCAAATTAATGGCAATTTTTTTACGTACAAATAAAAACTCGTGACGATATGACCAGATCGCTTCACGAACAGAGAAGTGTCAGAATCACACTGACATTATTAGCTTTACGATAAACATCTAGGTTAGTACACACTAAGCGGCTGCCGCTTGTTCGAGCACATTGAGGCTCAACGCAGCGTAACACATTTTCTAACTAGAGAACTTCACTTCAATAAGCACTTTCATGTAGACCACCCTGTACGTTAAAAAATGCCGTCTCGACATCGCACTACTTAACAGAGTAAACAAGGCTAAAACACACCGTAAGGAACGCTGGAGTTATGCTCATATAGGAATACGTTAGGGTGTCATTAACGTTGAACGTTTACAGATACCTTCGAGCTAAAGCCGAGCTTCGTTAGCATGCGATAGCACCATTTTTTAAATGATAAATAAACACCCACTTTGATGAATCGCTTAAGCTCCCGGAGAACATTACTACGTTGCTGGTCACTCAGCACGAAAAGCTTATTCCACTGTATGTGGTCGGTATAATACGGAATGTTGCGATAACTGCGTAGAAGCTCCATCACCGCTGTATCATAGTCCGATTCATCATTCAAGCGCTGACGATAAGGTCAATTCCAAGGCCATCACTTCATTCTCCCCTAAATTATCGGTGACCGCAAAACAGACAGGCATATTTTCCAACAATGCAGACGCATTGTAGATAAGCTCATGAAATGCTTCGATCCATCGTCACCAAGCGCGTCCGCGTTTGATAACATAAGGGTTGTATCACAGCGCTTTACTGTTGGAATTTGGATGGTAAAAGAGAAACTGATCTATTAGAACCAAGGCATTCTCCCT